CGGCGCAAGATTGCGACGAGCGTAGCCAGGGTCGCGGGGTTAGCCAGTGACGCCTCGAGGATCGTCCGGCGGTGACCCGGGCCGGCCAAGATTTCAGGCCAGGCCGACGTTGCGTCTCAAATGCCGGAGATGTCCGACATCGTGTGCTCGGTGGGCGGCCGCGTCTCCGACGGCTAGTCCAGCGTCGCCGAGGTTGCTGGTAATCCGCGTTTTTCGCCACCTTCGACAGCCGGACGTCGGGGCCGCCGCTCCCGAGACCATCGCTGACCGAAGTTGCCGTGGGGGGCAAGTCGGCCGAGCGGCGCAGCCACCCCAGGTCCAAGATGAGCGACCGTTACTCCCGTGACCGCGGCAGGCGCCCCTGCGGAAGCTCTAAAACGTTGCCCGACGCAACTGGTGGCGGGTCGAGCAGCGGGGTGGCATCGGCGGGCTGTGTTAGTTGGCGTCGGGTGGTGCCCTCGCCGGAGTGCGCGGAGGATGTCGAGGAAGCGGGCGAGTTGCCGGCTGACCCGCGCCAGTGTCCAGTTGCAGCCGACGAGCCCGCGGAGGCCCCCACGTTTGCCGGGGGTGCTGCGGGGGCGATTCCCCCGCCTCAGGTGGGCAATCCGGTGCCTGCGTTCCCGTGGGCTGCCGCGCAGTGTCGACGCGCGCGGGCCTTCTGCGCGGCCTCCGGAACCCGCGCGCAATTTTGATCCAGGCAATTCGAAATTTTTGGCGCGGCCAGCGCCCAGGTTACTTACGTGCGCGCATGGAAACGAGGTTGCCCAGGGCGACTGCGGGATCAGATGACTTCCTTGCCGTTATTCGGAGACGCGTGTCGGCATTTTCTCGTGGCGCTGTTAGAAGGCCCGCCATTTCGCCAGACCGAGTTTTCTGGATATTTTGTCGCGGGTCCGAGAGGTAGGAGGTGTGGGTTCAAGCCGTCTCAGCGCTTCAATCCAGATTGCCCCGTGGTTGCCAGGTCCCGAGGAACCTGGCTGATTTGCGCCCGAAGTTCACCGCCCGCTGGCGCCCAGGGTTCCCGAGTGCTGTTCCAGATTCGCAGATCAACATCCAGGTCTTTCCAGAGTTGCAGGAGAAGGAGTTGCTGGAGTTGGTCGTTACTTTGCTTGGCATATGCTGACCTGGGCCCCTGTTCATCATCGGCGTTAGCGTCCTGTGCGAGGAGTCCGGGAGTTATCGTGGGGATATCGCCAGGGGCACCATTGTCGCTACATTTGCCACCCAAGAGTTAGTCGAGTACTTTCTGAATCTTGCCGATAGGTTAGAGGTGTTTCGCCAACGGTATGTATCCATCATGCAGGTATACCGGGACGATTTCCAGGTCGGCCTGGAGCCGCCCGAGACCGTCTGGTGCCAGGCAGTCTTATGGGTTCCGATGTCCACCAACGTTCGTTCCAACAACGCGTATGCTGGCTCGTTGCTGTTAACTGTTTTGGGCCTCAGGCACCGTTCGAACCAGCGCAAGGAATCACTGTTGTGGCAGGTTATGTTACCAGGTAACGACTTTGACGCGTGGGTGAAGGGCAGCCGCCGGTGGGTTAACCCTAGCAGTGGTTAGGAGCTCCGCCGCATGAGGCACAGACGACACCCCACTTCCCGTGCAACTTGCGCGCACGTGGCTGCATGTTCTGGGATGCTGCTGGTTTCCATGACCCAGTTACCGACCATATCGCCAAGTCCAAGGGTCATGTTAACGTTGGTGCTCGTTGCGGATGTTGGACCAATATCGAGCAGGGCCATGCCGCTAATGGTGTATCCATGCTGTGCCACGGTTACCACGGCGGCGAAGCGAGGAGGCCAGTTGCCGGGCGTATTCGCCCGTTACACCCAGCCCATTCGCTGGCAAGATCTGCAACATGTTTCTCTTCGACTTGAGGATGCACACAAGATGTGGTTACAAGAAACCAGGTTTCATTTGATTCCCGCGTACTTCGAGCTCCTTTATGTACATAGCGATTACGTGCAATTTAACAGTTCGGCTCTTTTGACCGTTGCCTATCGGGGTGTGGTTGGTGCGTCATTTGGCCACGCCACCTTTTTCGTCATCGCACCTTCCCTGTCACTGATGCGGTCAGTACATACCGAGGGGGTGTTACCTATAGCGCGGGTGACTGGGTCAGGAGAGTGGTAGTATCATTGTTACCGAGCGTGCGTCGCGATCGACGCCGTTTGGCTCAACTGATTGATCGTTGACGTTCGTGTCGAGCGTATCGCTCCCGTGCTTATCCCCTCGAGGATTTGCAGTAGAAGGAGGAGGAGGAGGAGGAGGAGGAGGAGGAGGAGGAGGAGGAAAAGGAGGAGGAATTCAAGTGTTTAGTTTCGTCATTTGGGGTCTTCTCGGGGGCATCTGGGGGCCTTCGGGGCCACGCCCGGACTACTCTGGACAACCCCGGGCCTGATGCTGGGGCTTCCAGGGCCTCTGGAGGCCACCTCGGGCCATCCTGGGCGATCGGCGCGGCATCTTTGGGTATTTTTCGGGGCCGCCTACGTGCCGTCTTGGGCTACCTCGGGGGCTCTGGGGGGGGGTGGCTTGAACTGACCTTGGGACATATGCAGCACCGGCGCGAGTCGGGGACCTTTGTGGGTTATCTTGGAGTCATCTCGTGCGTAGTTCGGTTGTCTTTGGCTGTTGAGGCTCTCTTCGGGGCGTTGTGGGGCCGTCCTGGAGGGCCGGTTGTTGGTAGTGGTTACATGTCGCCTGCGACAGGTACGTGTGGCACAGGTTGGAAGGTCAGTTTATCACACATGTGACGGCATCCAGTTGAATGCCGACATCACGTTGTAAGGGCTCTGGCCCTCCTGGGCTGACCCATCAATGGTCCCCCTCCAGCGGGTCTGTGCGTTTCGCTTCGCCTCGCCTGGCGATCTCTTGGGCCATCTGGGGCGTCCAGCGTTGTCCGCGCCCTGGGGTTTTCAGAGCGACCAGGCTGGCGAACCCTACCCGCCTGGTGGCTTCAGTGGCGAGGCGCCCCCGCCCCACCCCTCCTACACTTCGTGAGCTGGCAACTTGAACCCAGACCTAGCTGATCCCCAAATTTCTCGGGGTTGAATTCCGCTTGGGTGCTATAGGTGTGAGTTGTCGGATGGGTGTCCCCACATGAATTGGAACCCCCGTCGGGGTCCGAAAATTCGCGCCCATACCTGTCGCGCCTTCATGACGTTGCCCTTTCTCATTCCTCCTCCCTGTAGGTTTGAGCGTGTGTTCTTCTTTCAGCTACAACAGAAAGGTCTGCATATGTAAGAGGCATGGAGCAAGACTCGGGAGGCAATCTTCTTAGTTTCATCGCATGTGTTCTGCAGCGATTGGTGCCGCTCGCCCATTTTGGCAGACAATGGTTGTGCCAATACGTTGAGTGCTCTTCAAGAGTGATGCCTGCTGGGAACGCCTAGGAGTACCATTCCAGGAGTCACTTGAGGACTTTTTGGACACCTCGTTGGGACGCCGCAGTGGTCCATGGGAGTTCCCGCTTCGGCGGTGTCCGCATGCTGTCAGGTGCAGCCTGGATGCCCCTGAGGGCCGGCTTGTGGACGCCATGCGCAGATCGGGATTTTTTGGGTCGAGATCGGTAACTGGGCCGCAATATTAGATACTTTGTGCTCCTCATGATTTGGGTCTGAATGATAATCATTGGGTGGGATCCGTGTGTGGTATCCGAGTCTCTTCTGCCTGTTTTGGAACCCTCCTGGTGTCGCTCCTGTTATCCGAAGGCTCTCCGGGGGATTTGAAACCCATCTTGGGGCCGTCTTTAGAGTGCCAGGGATTTTTACACTTGAACCATGTTCAGCGTGATTAGGACAGTCTTTTTCTTAGGATGCAACTCCTGGGAGGTTAGATTCAGCATCGGTGCTGGTATATCCGTGGTCGAAAACTGGCTTAGCCCAGAATAGCCCAATCCAATTCCGCTGAATCCGGTTTAGTCCAGCTAGGCGGGCTCAATTCCAGGCTCAGTCTGACCTGCTCCGGTTTATTGAATTGCTTCGCTCATTCCGCCGGCCCATTTCGCATGACTGAGCCTCTTGGGGCCGCTGGGGGGCCTCTTCAGCGTCGCTTGGGGGCCTCCTGAGGGCCTCTAAGGGGGTTTTGGGGCCTCTCAGGGGCCTCTTGAGGCCTCCTGGGGGCTTCTTAAGGCCGAGGGCTCGAAGTTTTGTTTTGTGTTCCCCCTTTGGGGCATCGCTTGGGGCCCTCTTGGGCCCCTCTTGGGCCGTCTTGGATGCCTCTGGGGCCGTCTTGGAGCCCTCTTGGGCCATCTTGGGGCCTTCTTGGGAGCTTCTTGGGCCCTCTTGGGGCGATCTTGGGGGCCTCTTGGGCCATCTTGGTGCGTCGGGAAGCCGAAAAGATGGACACGCCGAAATCTGCCCAAAACCTAAGGAAAAGTAATGAATTTTGCCTCTTGGGGCCCTCTGGGGAGTGCTCTTGGAGGCCTCTTGGGGCTTCTGGGGGCCATCTTGGGCGTCTTGGAACGATCGTGTTGCATCTCGGAGCACTCTTCAACCATCTTGGAGGGCTCTTGGCGGCCTCGTGGCCCTTCTTGGGGCTCTCTGGAGGGCCACGGGGGCGGCGCCCAGGAGGAAAACCATCTCTGACCCGAGTCTGCCCGGGATCGCCCGGGGTACTTTTCGTCTGGGGACCCCCAGGGGCCGCCCCGCGCGCGCGAAGTAGAAGTATTATTTAACAGTTACCGGAGATCTTAGCACGCCTCTGGTCCGTTGGGCCGGCGAATTTGGCCTTTCATCGGGCTTGATAGGTTTCAAATCGTTCTTGCGAAGACCTCCCAGAAGTTGCCTCCTATTCTTCGTACGGTCGGACTGAGGTATCAGATCGAGGTCGGTTCTGGGAGGGTACCCTGATGTTCTTCGTCTGTGTTGGATGTTCTTGTGCATATCGGGGAGGGTGCCCGTGGATGCTTTGTGCGGTCTGGCCGGCGGAGGGTCTCATATTCTTGAAGGATGTTTTCCAGGGCTAGGCGATCAGTGGGGTCCTGGGGTGTGCGGCCGAGGAGGAGGCCTGCGCCCACGAGCACGGCGGCAAGCACAGGAAGGACAGCGACGGCGACGGTGTCCCCGACAGCGAGGCCCGCTCTCACGTCTGTGGGGCAGGGGAGACTGCACAGACGAACGCACAATACACACCCATACCCATAGGGCCTAGGGAGGTCGAAGGGAGGAGGACAGGCTGTGGGTATGAGTGCGAGTTGTCGGACCCCGAGGGAGGCTCCCGTTCGAGCGGGGACCTCCATCCGACAGCACGCACCCATAGCCCCCTCCGCCCACCCCGCGGGTATGGGTGTGTATTGATCGTTCGTCTTGCACAGCGGTGCGCCGGTGCTTCGCCTGCTCGGCCTCCAGGAGACTTCAGGGGAGAGAGGGGCCCTCCTCCTCCTCCTCCTCCTCCCCCTTCCTCTCCTCCTCCTCCTCCTCCTCCTCCTCCTCCTCCTCCTCGTCCTCCTCCTCCTCCTCCTCCTCCTCCTCCTCCTCCCCCTCCTCCTCCTCCTCCGCCTCCTTCTCCTCCTCCTCTCCTCCTCTCCTCCTCCTCCTCCTCCTCCTCCTCCTCCTCCTCCTCCTCCTCCTCCTCCTCCTCCTCCTCCTCCTCCCCCTCTTCCTCCTGCTGTCGCCTTTAGAAACATGTGGGGGCCTCCCGTGAGAAGCCCCCCGTCGCCACAGAGCCAGGTTCGCCTTGGAGCTCTGGCCAGAACGTGCCCCGGGAGATGTCTGGGGAGCAGCGGTATCGGCTACAGTCGGACCGAGGTACAAGATCGAGGTTGATTCGGGGAACATCTTGTGCATCTTGGGAAAGACGCCCTTGGATGTTATTTTTCTTGTGGGGGCAGACGTGGGGTCTCACGTTCTTGAAGGATGTTCCTCTGGCCTACGTTCCATTGCACCAATCCCTCGCTCTTGTCTCTTGGGGGTCTCCTCGGAGGCCCTCGTCGCCACGGCCGGAGGCGCCTCGGAGCTCTGGTCAGGAGGAAACCCGGGGAGATGTACCCCACCCTGGCGTCTCCTCCTTGGGGTGCTCAAAGGACGAGCAGGAGGAGGAGGAGGAGGAGGGGGAGGAGGAGGATGAGGGGGAGGAGGGGGAGGACGAGGAGGAGGAGGAGGAGGAGGAGGAGGAGGAGGAGGAGGAGGAGGAGGAGGAGGAGGAGGAGGAAGGGTGGAGGAGGAGGAGAAGTGCCACCCGTGCTAGACCGTGATCAGCATGGGGCTCTGAAAAGAAACACGTCTGTCCAGCCACGCAGGCAAACCGCCCCAAACATCCCCAACAATCCCCGAGAGGCTCTCAGGAGGCCCCAAGACCCCCAAGAGGCCCCAAGAGGCCCCCCAAAAGCTCCCCACAGGGCCCACGAGGCGTCCGAGAGGCCTCCCAAGATAGCCCCAAGAGGCAACAATCATTGCTTTCCTGTAGGTGTTTGACGGATGCTCGAGTTTTCAACCTTTTCGCATCCCGACGCTCCAAGACGGCCCAGGCCCCCAAGACCGCCCCAAAATAGCAGAAGAGGTCTCGAAGAGGGCCCCAAGACCGCGCATATTGCCACCGTGCCTTGATTGTGTGGCAGAGTCTTCTGGAGTACTTTTGGGAGCCTTTTCGGAGCGCTCTCGGGGTCTATTGGGGACAGTGTTGGGGCCTCTTGGGGACATTTTTGGGGCCTCTTGGGAGCCTCTTGAGAGCATCTTGGTGGCCTCTTGGGGGCCTCCTGGGGGATCCCTTGGGGCCTCCTGAGGGCCGTTCGAGGCCGAGGGATCGAAATGCCCGTTTGGGTCCCCCGTCTGGGTCGCTTCTTGGAGCCGTCTTGGGGGCCTCTTGAGCCGTCCTGGAGGCCTTTCGGGCCATCTTGGGGCCCTCTGGGCCCGTTTTGGGGGCCTCTTGGAGGCCTTTGGGGCCGTCTTGGTGATATTGAGAGCTTATGACACCGTCTTTCTTGGAGCGTCAGGAGGCCGAAAAGGCAAGGAAGCCAACTTCTGTCAAAAGCAACAGGCAAGACATTCTCTTCGCGAAAGACCCAACCATATGCTGTTGTGAGTACCGTCGTTGTGGGTATCGCCTTCGGTGGATCTCCTTGTGGGGCCACGAAGCGTGTGCCGAAGTGGGTGCGGTGCCGCCGTGCGGATGGTGCCACTGGCGCCTACACCGTAACTTCCTTTAGAGCCACGAAACGTATGAGGGGTGTGCCAAATCGGGTGCGGGTACGCCATGCGGACTGCGCCGCTGGGGCCTTCGGTGGAGCTTCTTATGGGGCCACGAAACGTGTGAGCGGTGTGCCAAATCGAGTGCAGGTGCTCCGTGCAGACTGTGCCATTTGGGCCTTCGGTGGCTCCCTGTGGGGCCACGAAGCGTGTGAGAGGGGTGCCGAATCGGGTGGGGGTCCGCCATGCGGATTATGCTCCTGGGGCCTTCGGTGGAGCTTCCTATAGGGCGCCACAGCGTGTGAGCAGTGTGCCGAATCGGGTGGGGGTACGCCATGCGGATTGTGCTGCTGGGGCCGTCGGTGGAGCTTTTACGGGGCCGCGAAGAGTGTGAGGGGTGTGCCGAATCGGGTGTGGGTACGCCGTGCAGACTGTACCACATGCTCCTTCGGTGGAGCTTCTACGGGGCCGCGAAACGTGACGTGTGAGGGGTGTGCCGATTCGGGGGTGGGTTCGCCATGCGGACCTTTCCCCCCGTCGTGCGGGTCGGCTCTACAACGCACGTGCGCATCTCAGCGTGCACCGCAGAATGGTCGATTGAATAAGTCCACTTGGTTCTCGGACGGTCAACTCTGCGGGAGCCTTCTGGACGCAGATGGGAAGAGGTAGGAGGATGCGGGAGGACTCGGGAGGACTCGTAGACTCCAGAGGCGCTCTGATTTCCATAAGGATTCGATTCCACATCCGATTTAAAATACATGTTTTCTGTGGAGCCCACAGGCGCTCCATTTTGTCAGAAAGATTGTTTCTCAAATGCTATATGCGATAGTGGTGCCCTGTTGCACACGGTTGCTGCGGTGCACACGGGCGCCGTGGTACACATACACGCTGCGGTGCACGCAGGCATTGTGGTGTACACTGGTCCTGTGTTGCACACGGCTGCTATGGTGTATGCAGGCGCTGTGCTGTACACAGCGCTGTGGTGCACGCAGGCACTGTGGTTCACACTGGTGCTGTGTTGCACGCGGCTGATGTGGTGTACATAGAGACGTAGACGATGTGGTATACACAGGCGCTGTGGTCGTGGTTCACATAGTCGCTGTGGTGCAGATCGCCACCTACGAAAGAGCGCGCTCTGTGGTCGCTTGGAAGGGGGGGAGGGGGTTTGGAACCGGACCCCCCACCCCCTGGATGGAGGGAGGGGGGGGAGGTTTCGATTTCCCCCTCCCCTCCCTCCCTCTCCTCTCTCCTCGGCGCGGGCCAGCGCCTGCGTCGGCGGGCGGCTGGCGGCGGCGGCGGGGACGACCATTTCTTTTTCTGGGCCAGCACCAGCGCCTGCGACGGCGGGCGGCGGCGGCGGGGAGCGTCGACGAGGACGACGGTGGTGGTGGTGGTGGTGGGTTGTGGTGGTGGTGGTGGTGGCGGTGGTGGTGGTTGTGGTGGTGGTGGGGTGGTGGTTTGTAGTGGTTGTGGTGGTGGTTGTGGTGGTGGTGGTGGTGATGTGGTGGTGGTGTGGTGTGGTGATGTGGTGGTGGTGGTGGGTTGTGGTGGTGGTGGTGGTGGTGGTGGTTGGTGTGTGGTGGTGGCTTGTGGTGGTGGTGGTGGTGGTGTGGTGGGTGGGTTGTGGTGGTGGCGGTGGTTTGTGGAGGTGGTGGTGGTGGTGGTGGTGGGTGGTGGCGGTGATGGTGGTGGTGGTGGTGGTGGTGTGGTGTTTGTTGGTGGTGGTTTTGTGTTGTGCTGGTGGTAGTGGTGGTGGTTGTGGCGGTGGTGGTGGTGGCGTGGTAGATTGTGGTGCTGGTTGTAGTGGTGGTGGGTTTTTGTGGTGGTGGTGGTGATAGTGATTTGTGGTGGTGGTGGTTGTGGTGGTGGTGGTGGCTGTGGTGGTGGTGGTGGTTGTGTGGTGGGTTGGTGGTGGTGGTGGTGGGTTGAGGCGGTGGTGGTGGTGGTAGTGCTGGTGGTGGTAGTGGTGGTGATCGTCGCTGCGTTCCCGCCGTCGCCAGCGCCCAACGCCGGCGCTTCTGGCCGCAGTCAGCGCGCCGTCGCCAGGTGGGGGGGTTTGAACCCCCCCACTCGGCGCGGGGGGGGGGTTGAACCCCTCCCCCTTGGTGGGCTGCCTCTGGTCATCGTCGTTGCGTCCCCGCCGTCGGCGCTGCTGACGGCCGCCGGCGCCGGCGCAGGACGGGGGGGGGGTTCGGGAGGGGAAGGGTTTGGGGCGGGAGGGGAGTTCCCCTGGTTTTGATCGACGGCGCCGAGTGTGGGGGGGGATGCCCACCCCCTGGTTCGAAACGCGCCGCCGAATGTTCCCAAGGCAAGCGCCCGTGAAATGCGCTTTCTCCCACGTACATATGCTGCGCCTACACGTCTTCGGCTATTCCTAGGCGTTCCCAGACGCCGCCGGCGCGAAACGTGACGTCACCGCCCCCCCTCCTGTTGACGGGCGTCGTCGCCCCGGAATAAAAAGAATCGGAGGTGGACAGACCTCCTACCCTGACACGTCGATTCAGGAATTGGCCGTTTTCGGTTCGCGAGAGGGCCTCGCGGCCGTCCGTTTTGCGGGTCCAGGTGCGTCGGTTTCGGCCCCAGGCCGAGTTCACTGATATGAGGTTTACTAAAAGGAGGGCTGTCCACCGCCGAAAGAAACAGGCTCTTCCTCATCACCACCAACTTCTCGGGGTGGTGCGATTCGGGTACAGACAGCTCCATTGAAGTAGTGACCCACACATGTTTTGAATTGGAAATACAAAGGTTCCAATCACGTGGATTGCTCCGAGACCTACGGCCCTAAAGGACGGCAGAATTCACGGAGCGTCCCCTGGCCAATTTCGGCACGGCCCTCACGAATCGTGCCCCCCCGCCAGGGGGGGACGCCATGCAAATGTAGTCCTTAGACACATGAGTGGAGCTCACGGGGACACGATTTGTGAGGGGTACATGTGTGTTTCCACTTCAAAGCATGTGTGGGCCACTACTTCAGTGGAGCTGTCTGTGACCGAATCGCACCACCCAGTGAATGTTGGTGGTGATGAGGACGTACTACACCAGGAGTTCCACCGACAACCCCAGGGCTAAGATTCGAATCCCCCCGCCCCGCGTCTGGGGTGCCTCTCGGCGCGTGGGCTGCGGCGGCGCTGGGTTCTGAGTGCCCCTTTCCATCCTTCTCGTCGGCCCCAAGAAGGCCCCTAAGAGAGGCCGAGAGTGCCCGAAGAGGCTCCCAAGACGGTCCAAGAGGGCGCCGAGTCGCCGAAAGATCGCTCCAAGACGCCCAAGACGGTCTCAAGACTGCCCACGATGCCTCCAAGACACCCCCGAAGGCCTCCACGAGGCCTGCCAAGAGGGCACACAGAGGCAACCATCATGTATTTTCCAACCATCCTGTGGTGTTGGGTCCCCGTTTTGAAGAGACAGCGCCCCGCGTCCCTCCCCCCCTTCCCGTTTCCACAAAAGGCCCCAGCGGCACAGGGTGAGGGAGGAGGAAGAGAAGGAGGAGGGAGGAGGAAAGAACATCGCATTTCATTCTCAGCACTCCCCTTGCGTGGCGTTCAGCTGCCACCTACATGCTTTTCCTACCTGCCCTGTGCACGCAGGCGCTCGGGTGTACACCAGCGCTGTGCTGCACGCGGATGTTGTGGTGTACGCAGGCGCTGTGGTCTGCACAGGCGCTGCGGTGCACGCAAGCATTGTGGTGTACACAGGTGCTGTGTTGCAGACGGGTGCTGCGGTGTACACACTCGCTGTGGTGTACACAAGCGCTGTGGTACACGCAAGCACTCTGGTGTACACAGGCGCTGCGTGGCACACGGCTGTTGCGTTGTACACAGGCGCTATGGTGTACGTGCGCGCTCTGGTGCACGCGAATAGTGTGGTGTACATAGGCGCTGTGGTGCAGATCGCCACCTACGTGCTGCTACTTGGCCTCCGTCATCCCCAGCCATTCCTGGACGCCGCCGGCGCGGAACGTGACGTCACATGGGGCCGGGGGCGCGGGGCCGGTGATGGTTGTTATCGCGGAGAGTAAAAAACAGGCTCGAGGAAGGACGAACGAGGAGAAGCAAGTTCTTCAGAAACCTTCAGGTATTTCAAAGTCTCCGCGCCCGGCTCGCCTTGGGAAGGGGTAGAACGCAGGGTACGGGGCAGACGCGGACGCCAGTGCTCAGTAAGGGCTCCCAGACGCCCTGCATACATGCTGGTATACTGGGGGCCCGGGGCCCGGGCCGGGACACCCTCCCGGATTTCCCCGTTTGATCCATTCCGGGCCATGCTGGAGGCCACTAAAAAGCGACCAGAGCGGCTTGACAGGGCCGAAAACGCTTTAATCTTGTTTCAAGGCTGCTCAGGAGGCTCCAATGACGTCGAAGGCTCCAAGATGCGCCTCGAGAGGGCCCCAGGAGGCCAACAGGCCAACATTGTTTCATTCCCTAGGAGGACGGTTCATTTTTAGCATTGCTTCTTGGGTCTCAACATCATCCAAAACGGCCCAAGAGGCCCCACATAACGCCCCAAGACGGCCCAATATGCCTCCTAGAGAGCCTCAGGACGGTCCGAGAACGGTCCAAGAGGCGCCCAAGATGGCCCAGAGGGCCCAAGAGGAGCCCAAGAGTTCGAATTCCAACCGACATGTCGAGCCCTCCGCCACGAGTGGGCCTCCGAGGCCGCAGCAGGCACACAAGAGGCCCCCACATGGCCCTAATGAGGCCACAGAAAGCTTCCACACTCGCTCTACGAGGCGCCCGAGAAGCATGCCAAGAGACCCCCCATCATCGGTATCCAAGGATACTCTGGCCCAGAACTCAGGTACAGTAGCGGTACATGCCATATATGAGCAAGCAATTGGTTTGGCGACGGACCCATCCCTATGCAGCCGTGTGTAGCGCAGGGCGCGGGTCTCTCTTCATACACTGCGCGCCGCGGGGCAATGCGAAAATATTGCTGCTGCGGAGCACACGTGCACGGGTGCGCTGAATTCCTGAACTCCTTGTAGGGCATGATCCGCGTAAAGGGTGTGCCGAATATTTCGGATACCCCCGCGCGAACGACCACACTGAGGCCACAGGTTGACCTCCTCCAGGCACGACCCGTGCGAGGCATGTTCCGAAATGGGCGGGGGGTACGCCATGCGAAGCTGCCCATCGGTGCCGTAGGTGCAGTTCTTTCTGGACCACGGTTCGCGTGACGGGTCTGCCGACATGGGCGGTGGAGCGCTGTACGAATCTTGTCTCTGGGCCTTTAGGTGGCGCTCCTTGTGCGCACGATCCACGTCATGGGGTGTGCCGCAATGGCCAGGGGGGTGCAGTGCGAACCTTGCCTTTGGGGCCGTAGGTGGTGGTCCCTGTGGGCCACGATCCGTGTGAGAGGCGTGTCGACGTAGACGGGATGGCGAGGTGCGAACCTTGTCTCCAGGGCCGTCCGTAGAACGAACTCCTTGCAGGCCGCGATCCGTGTGAGAGGTGTGCCCAAGTGAGCGGGGCGACGCTATGACGTTTCACTCTGGTGCCGCAGGTGCAGCTATTGGCGGGGCACGATCCGCGTGAGGGGCGAGCCACTATACGAACCTTGCCTCTGGGGAGTTAGGTGGAGCCGCCTGTGGGCCGCGAGTCCTGTGGTGGGCGTGCCGACACGGGCGGGGGAACGCTAGCCAAGCCCGTCCCCCGGGGCCGCAGGTGGCCCTCCCTGAGGGGCACGGCCCGTGCGACGATCTATGTCCTCACTACCGAACATGTTAGACTACAACTCGAGTTCGCTAGAATCTAGTCGCGCTTGGCGCGCGCGTGGTTCTAGTGTGTGTGTGTGTGTGCATGTATATGTATGTATGTATATATATATATATATATATATATTTATAGATCTGTACAAACCTATAGAAATGGCCTTCGGTTCATCCCGCCACCGTGCGTAGGTTGTGGGTCCTCGGCCTTTCAGGATGTTCGTTGGGATGTTGCGGGGGGCCTCTCGGGGGCGTTTTGGGGGCCGTTTGGAGGATTGTCGGGGCCGTCTTGGGGTTTGGGGGCATCTTGAGGGCCTATGGAGGGTCTCTTGGGGCCCCTTGGAGGCCTCTTGGCGCATCCTTGGGCATGGGGGCCTCTTGGGGCGGAGGACTCGAGTTTTCCGTTCGTGTCCCCCCCTCTTGGGCGGCCATTCTTGGGGCTGCCTGTAGGGCTTCTTGGGCCGTCCTGGGCGCCTCTGGGGCCGTCTTGGAGCCCTCTTGGCCCGTCTAGAGGCCCTCCTCGGGGCCTCTTGGGCCGTTTGGGGGCGCTCTTGGGGGCCTCTTGGGCCGTCTTGGATCGTTGGAAGCTCGAAAAGCCGAGGACCTCAAAACCATTGAACAACAACAAGAACAACAACGGACAATCAATGCTTTTGGCCTCTCGGGGCCTTGTTGGGAAGGTTCTTGGGGCTCTCTTGGGGCGCATCGACGGCCTCTTGGGCCGTCTTAGGGGCCCTCTTGGGCGTCTTGGACCGATCGAGCGGCGATCCAAAGCCCTCTTGGACCGTCTTGGGGGCGTCATGGGTCCGGTAAGTCACGCGACAAGACGCGGTGTGCCCCAGGAGATATGGCAATTTTGGGTCTGTGCCCCTTAGAGAATCCAGAGGATTGATGATTGAGGCTTGAAGGATTAAGCAAAGGACCTGGGGTCACTCCACTTCGTGCCACAGGGGCACGGTGGCGTAGTGAAATTAAACCCCGCCAGACTGGTAGCAGGAATTCAAGCAGAGCCCAGCGTGCTGAGGACACCATGCCAGATTGTGTTGGGCAAGGGGCGTAGGTTGTGGCTTGCAGTGCCACCGCGGCCGTGTTCATGTGGTGTCGCTCGAGGAAGCGAGCCATTTGAGAGATGCCCTGCTGCAGAGGAAGAGAAGCACGACAGTGGCGTCCACAGTGCGTACAACCAAAAGCGCTGGACTGGGGGCCACTCGGGTTTCTTGAGGGACTCGAGGTGTTCGGGCCGATCCTCAAGGTCTGGGTCGGGGAACCTCTTCGCGGCCGAGGCTCGCCGTGGTCAGGCAATCCCGCTCGTTCCTCACTGGGCGTTCACTGTGGTCGCGAGATGGCTCTGGCCCGAGGGTGGATGCTCCCGATTCGTGTGAGGACCCGGCGCCCTACGAGAAGACGTGCTGGAAGAAGAGCTGCGTGGACAGCGACGGGGACGGAGTGCCCGACAGCGAGGACTCGAGGGTGAAGAGGATGAGGTGGAGGAGGAGGAGGGGAAGCATGAGAAGAAGTAGGAGGATGTTCAAGTTACCGAGGTGAAACGAGTCACCCCGCCCCGCCCGTTCCCGCCCTCTTTCCCATAGCCTACGAGCCGATGGTGGCGCAACCTGATATTGCGATAGACACGCGTCCCCCCCTAGCGAACGGAAGGCGCTCGTGCGCGGTCCCACTTCCGACGACGTAGTGCTTGGCATCGCTCGGACGTGTGCATTGTGGTCTCGGCGAGGGCCATCGAGGAGCATCCTGGATCGCCGAGCAAAACACACACGCACGAAACCGACACATGCACAAGGAATGGACGTCCGAGCGATGGCGAGACCAGCGGCCGCGCATGGGCGCGAGCGGGACTTCCAGAAAATCGCTGCGCGCAGCCTCAGCGAGAGGCCAATTTGGCCCTCTCGCGCGGCACAATGTCTGATGAGCGCGGTGAAGACGGAGATGGCGCCGTGCTTGCGCACACATCGTTCTCAGTGCCTTCAAGCGTTTGTCCCTTGGCCGTGTCCATGCGGGAAAAAGATGGACGGAGCGTGCTTTCGAGTATGTTGATTGCGTGGACATGAGCTCGCCCGTGGCCGAGGTAGAGCAGAGATGCCTCGCTCGTATAAAAGAAAAGATTGCGCCGCGCTGGGGCAGCCCTGCCACTTTCAAAGTCTGCGCGAAGCCTGGGCGAGGAGCACGTTTCGCCCGCTCTTGCGCGGCCCCGCTGCCGCCGCCGCCCTCCCGCGACTCGGAGCCATGCGGCGCGCCGTACCAGAAGCCCGCTCTCCAGCCTGAGCCTGCGCCTGTTTTCGGGTGAGGGCGACGAGTCGCTCGCTCGCGCGCGGCCCTGACCCCAACGGTCTGGCGAGTGAGAGATGTGCGCCGCGCTCAGGTGGGGAGCGTCGCTTTCAGGCGACACTCCGCGCGGCGCCGAGGCGAGGGTGACATTTTTTACCCGCTGGCGCGCCACCCTCCGGATGTTTAATGCCTTCGCGGATAGCGCGTGTTGCAGTCAGGGCGCCGAGATAAGGATCGCTTTGGGTTCTGAAGGGGCTCGCCGCCCCTTGGATCCTTTCGTGGTTGTTCCTCTAGCCCTCCTCGTGCACCCCGGCTCCTTTAATGCCAGTAAGGGGCTTCGTTTCTTATTTAGCGCTCCTTGTTGCAGCAGCTCGACTGTACACCCCCAGACTTCCCTGCGGTATCGTGACACTAACGCCTGGTTGCTGTCCACGGGCGCGAATCTTCGCTTCGACCCTGTCGGGGCCCCCGCACAGTTTCTACGGATCCTGGCAGGGCTCCGTAGGGACTGAAGTCCGACACTGTCGACGAGCTGGCGTGCGAACAGTGTGCGCCCCGCCAACGCGGGAGTCCAACCCTCAGGTAAATGGAGCGCGGCGCCCGAGCCTGAGAGCGACTTTTTGCCCGCTCGCGCCGCGTCCCACCCCTGGGCACGCATCTCACAGCACCGGCGACAGAACGTCCATGTTGAGCGGAGTCGCGCCGCCCTGGTAGTGTTTTTTTTGATGGGTAGCATTAAGTCGGGCCTGTCCTTCTACAGGAGGAACATTCAAAAGTAGTTAAGCAATACTCTGGGGACGATCTCGTGACTATTTCAGGGTATTTGGGGGGTATTTTGTTTATTTGTTATTCAAGACGCTTCGCGTTCACCGCCCGCCTATCTTGCTCTCGCCGGATGAGGCGAGGCAGCTGCACGACTGGAGAAACATAGACGGAAAATAGCACAAGACCCCGTAGGTGCGGTTTGTTGTCTTCTCGTGGGTGTCATTCCTTTTTCACCCCATCGCTTATTGGGCTCAGGTATGCCGCGCGGCCCACCGGTGGTGACTTTGTCCTTTCGTCTGCGGTCCGCCGCCACTATCAACGGATCAGTGATCTGGAGGTCGGCTTTTCCGCATCCTTGCGCCCCATCCACGTCAGGGTGCCCGAGATAGCCGAGCACTGCTCAAGGTCAACCGAATCGGGCCGAAAGCATGGGACAAAAACACCAATAGCGTTTGACGGGTGCCTACCAGGGTGTAGAAAGAGTCCACGAAGGGCCCCAGGCGGCCCGGTGGAGTTTTCAGGTGTCTCATGCGCGGGCATTCCCGTGTTGGGCATAAAACGGGCCTGGGTCTGACCATTCTGTGCATTGCTTTGGGTTCTGTGGACCGGGTCGTGTTGGTCTGTTGCGGTCAGACGGTGTGTTGGGAAGTGTCGAGCCATGGTCCCGACAACTCGCCTAACAAGAAGAGTCGAATCGTGGAAAAGGGCGAGCAGGGGCAGCGGGCTACCGACTCTCACATGCCATACACATTTCGGCACGTGAAGATCCGCGGATTCGCGCTAGGGAGTGTGAGTGACCTGAGCAGCGCTGAGTGCGACGCCGAGTCTGTAGAATTGTGCATCTTCGGTCATGGTGTCCTTGGGACCATCCCGAGCCAAAGAGGACCATCTGGCACCACTCCCCAGATTCGGTGGAGGCTCACGGGAGGGCATATCGAGAAGGAGGGGGGGTGGTGGTCTCGTTCTACGTATGCTTTTGCAGCGTGGCTTGTGTAGTTTTGGATCGTCCTGGGCCGTCTTGAGACGAACTTGGGCCGTCTTCGAGCGTTCTTGTCCTGGGGCCGTGCGGCCTGCCGCTTATATGGTGCCTCCTCTACCGGCGTCTCGGGAGGACCACAGGGGCGAGCTCAGGAGTTCTGGCATCCTTGACCTAGAGTCAACTGGATGTCTGGCGGGGCCTTGCCGGGGACCGCACGGGGCTTTTTCTTTCTGGGGGGGCCCAGGACGTTCACCCTCGCGCAAATGAGTCAATGTTCCGAATCTTCGTCCGGTGGGTGGCCGGGATGGTAGTCCCCATGATGCCCCCGATGGCTGGAGCGACGGCGGGTCCGATGGTTTGCCCGATGGCTGCCTGGATGATTGGCCTTCTGTTTGCTCCGATGTGTGTCGTTGGGCCGGATGGTTGACGTCGTGACAGCCCCGATGTTTTCGATAGTTATCCCGATGGGTGGCCTGGATGGACGTCCCCAGGATGCTGCATGCTTAATCCACTGTAGGAGGCCAGAGATAGCCAGAACGGCGCCGAAGACCAGCCAAAGACGCCTCGGAAACGGCCCCGATGGCGCCAAGGAGGGCCGAAGAGGGCCCGGAAAAGGGCCCAAAAGGGGCCCGAGACGAGCCCGAGGCGGCCCAGGCGTGCTTCTGGACGGCCCAAGCGCGAGCATCTCCGCATGGGGCCGCAGCCCCGTCCGTCTTCGGTAAAAACCTGGCCGGTTCTGGGCCGTTTTGGGCTCCGCTTGGGGGCCTAAGTTGAGCCCGGGATCGTCCAAAATTGTCTCCTGAGTGTGTCCAAAGACGGTGTCGAAGTGTACACGCTGAAAGATGCCCCAGGCGAGCTTGGAAAGGAGCCGGAAGAGGCGTCCGGGCGATCCAGGTTTCCAGTCTGTGTGCGTGGTTGAGCCCAAGAGGTGTTCTTGAGGGCCCCAGGAGTTGATTTTGGAGCCCAAGAGGGGCCCAGAAGGAGCCAAAATAGAGCCCAACTGTGCCCGAAAAGTGTGTTGGAGGCGGTGTGAAAATCGAACTCGTCTTGGACGCCGTTTGGAAGCCGTCTTGGGGTCGGAAAAGGGGATTGAGCGCAGCCGGGCGGCGGAATGGCGGAGGCGTCCGGGGGGGGGGAAAAGGGGGGGGGGGGCGAAGCTCTGGAAGGAGCCCTCGTAGTCAAATCTCACACGTCCCTCTGCCCGGTGGGCGGGCGGATTTAATCGCTTCGCTCATTCCGCCAGCCCATACTGCCTCGCCGCTGTCGTTTGTCGGGGTGTTGTTGTCAATGCGGTGCGGTTGGGCGACTGCCATTTTTGGGAGGCGGTGGGTTGCGGGTCAGAGGCCTCGCGGATGTTGGTTGGGCTCGCGTGGTTGGCCTCTCAGGTGCCTTTGGGAGGCAGTTTTGAGGCTTCTTGGGGCCCGTGTTGGGGCCTCTTGGGGCCTCTTGGGGGCCTCTTGGGGCTTCTTGGGGTGCCTCTTGGGGGCCCTTGGGGCCTCTTGGGGGCCTCTTGGGGCCTCCTGGGGGCCTCTTGGGACTGAAGGCTGGACTTTTCGGTTCTTGGTCCCCTTCTTGGGCCCCTCTTGGTGCCGTTTTGGGGCTCTCTTGGGCCGTCTTGGGCGCTTTTTGGGCTGTCTTGGGGTCGTCTTGGGCCGTCTTGGGGCCCTCTTGGAGGCTTCGTGGGCCGTCGTGGGGCGGTCCTGGAAGCCTCTTGGGCCGTCTTGGAGCGCCGGTAAACCGAAAAGGCGAGAACTCCCAAAACCGTCAGAAACTACGGAAACAAAAAAACACTAATTTCAAGGCTGCCGCCTTTGCCGCCGACCCCAGAAGAGCTGGCAGCTCATTTGGCTCGCTGTTGAGTTGAGGCCGCCTTGCGGCGTTCTTCGGCTCGTCTTGAACGCTTGCTGGGTGTCGGGGGGGTCCCAAGAACAGAGTTGCAGAGGCTCGGGGGTGCCAGGGCGCGGTCGGTGGTTTGACACCAGAGATTGTCGGGTGGGGGGTGCCAAGAAAAGAGTTCCACAGGCCTGGGGGTGCCAGGGCGCGGTGGGGGGCATCGCTAGGTTTCAGGCCAGAAATTGTGGAGTGTGGGGTTCCAAGAACAGAGTTCCAGAGGCGTGGGAGTGCCGGAGCGCGGTGGAGGGTATGGGTAGGTTTCAGGCCAGAAATTGTGGGGTGGGGTGTCCCCAGACCAGAGTTCCAGAGGCCTGGGGGTGCCGTGGCGCGGTGGGGGTACGGGCAGGTTTCAAGCCAGAAATTGTTGGGTGGGGGGTCCCAAAAAACAGAGTTCCAGAGGCCTGGGGGTGCCAGGGCGCGGTGGGGGGCATCGGTAGGTTTCAGGCCAGAAATGGTTGGGGGGTTGCCAGAAAAAGAGTTCCAGAGGCCTGGGGGTGCCAGGGCGCGGTCGGGGGAATCGGCAGGTTTCAGGCCGGAAATT